GTGAAGATAAATAAATGAAAAACAGAGATACCTCCGTATGTGGTTGACAAACGCCGTTTCAAGCTAACGTTGTAAAGCATGTATTGATAGATGAGCCGAAGAAAGTTGAGACGAATCTATCCTCTTTCATTTGTTTATTAGTGTTGAATGATTTTAATCAACAAATGATTAGAGTAACAACAACTAATCATCCATGCATGTTTAATAGTATATTAACCTGTTTGGAATCATTATTTGAAAAAAAAAACAGTTTATTAGCATGATAATATTGAGTTGTTTACAATTTATTTTCTAATAAAAAAAAACAACTCAATATTATCAGGCTAATAAAGTTTTCTCTTCTAACATCGTAGTTCAATTTTTTTTTTACTGAAATATTTGCATAATCATACATGGAAAAAGATACATAAGTGAGAGCAAGTCTAACATTTGGTATGTTTAGCTAAGACTAAAATTATCAACATAAAGAAGAGAGTCTTATTCTTATATATCAAATTATCAATGCAATATTGAATAAATACTAGAAATTTCAATATATAAATTAGATGTGCATATATCGATAATATTATAAACATATGTTTGTAAATTCCTATGAAGAGAAAAAATTGGAAATTAGATTGGCCCGCATTTAAAAAAGATTTAGCAATTGATTGACTAATAATGACAAAAATAATACTAGTAAATTACGTCGCTGAATTATCGCTAACACACCTAAATTAAAGCATTGACAACAAAAGTCGTAAAAAGAGTCAGTGGAGATTTTTTTACGTGTCAATATATGAATGTGCATGTGTCTGTATTTTTATGCTAACTAACTATACAAATTATATATGCATATAAATCAATGTAGAAACTTAAATTCTTTCCTTATTAATACTATTAATGTGTGCTTTTTTTTTTTCTATGGCAGTATGTAAATCAGACGACCACTCTTTGCGCATGTTTGTCTGCGTGTATAGAAAATATTCATAACCATTAGCGTAATGGTAGGAGCAAGGGCAAATTGGTAAAAGTAAATATTAAAAATTTTAAACAAGAGCAAAATTATATGGCCATAGCAGTAGCAGGTTTTAACGACCTATATAAACCAACTCTCTTTATATTTGACATTTTTTCTCTTCAAAGTGGTTTCTAGATGTCAAAGGTTTTCCCAAGATTCCATTTTCACGTTCTGATATGATCTTCGGAAGATTTTTCTCAGTAGACATTTCAACTTTCCTTGCTAGGTTAGATTTTTCTGTCAACCTCAAATTTATAAAGCTACTCGTATAGTCAGATTTTTTATTTTTTGCCCAAATAGAAGAAACATGGTCTAAAATCCAAATACAGATTTCGCATTACAGTTAAACAATCAACATTTGAATTTAATACACAACATTTGAATTTGATACGCAACATTACGTGATGAATGATAACTAAAACTTAATTGAATTTTGACACTCAAATTCGTGTGAAAATGTGATAGTTGAAATTTGAGTTTACCTCGTCTTCTGATTTGTTGGGCTTGGATATTAAAATTTATTGATGGTTAGAGATTTTTTTTTTAATTAGAGGATAATCCATATTTTTACCATCTGACTAATTTTCTCAGAATAAGTAAAGTCGTAGAGTAGTCCACTCACCAAATTTTTTAATAGGTCTAAAGCGTGACACCACTTCAACTCGTTAAATAGGAATAATTAGATAATTCTACGCATAAGAAAAATTGAACCCTAGCTTTTTAACACATGATTTATCCAGTTTATCTTATAAAAAAAACAAAGACATGGTAAGAGATAACTACAATAAAACTTTCCATAATGCGTTTTATGTTAAAAGCGGAATATTTTTTTACTAATATGACATTTATCTGTCTTGGCAAAGTAAATTGACATCTAAATTTATAAAATTAGGCAAAACGCATTACGCATCCTATTTTTTGTTTTTTGTTAAAGTTTACGCATCTTAATTGATTAACACATTGATTGAAACAAGACGTTGCAACAAAATTATTTATAAAAAATGACATTGCAACGACGGTGCCGTCACTCTTTTTATGTGACCAAAAAATGAGCTACGTAATCCACAATGTATTCCATCTTTCAGTACGTATGATGACTGAGCTAGGCGTTGTATGTACACAAATTTCTTAATGTATAAAGATAATTCAATCATTTATAAAATGCCATCACAGAGGTCACATATTAACTAATTTCGTACTATATGAGTTTAGCTATCCAGTCTATTCAAATGTATAAATATTTCTTTGATAAAAAATGTATAAATATTCTTAAGAAAGAAAACAAAACTTACAAGGTTGGA